TAATTATGTCTAGATTTAAATTATTTATTATTGCCAAAAATGGATAGGATAAAATCATGGAAACTATTATTTTAATAAATAATTTGAATAATTCGAATTTGTATTATGAATAGAAACCATCCATTAATATATATTAAAAATCAATAAATAAACAAATAGCTTTTATTGCAAAATAATTAATTATGTTCCTTTGGTGGTGGTGTTAATGATTGAATCAATTACACAAGTAGTAATCAATTTAAACAGCATTGTTTTTAAAGAATTTATTCAAAATAATATTATTACTTCAATGTTTCTTTATTTCTTTTTTTGATAAATAATAAATTTATTTATTTGTTTATTTGTTTTAGTAGATTCAAATAGATTTTATTAGATCAAATGGTACAATATAGCAAAATTTCAAAGAACCAAGTGTATCAATTACACAAAAACACACATAATAAAGAACACACAAAAAAAAATATTAGCTTGTAGCCTATAGATAGATCTTGTAGAATATGTATGCAAAATTTCATGTTTCCTGATTTTTTATTATGAAATTCGATTATTTCGAAAAAGAAACTTTGCACGCATAATTTATAGAGCCTAGTACTAGGCCACAAACCACATAGTCAATCCCGTTAATTGGTAGTTGTCTTGCCAAAAACATAATACCAATACATAATACGTAATTAATTTCGTCGCCCGTAATTAGTTTCGTAATTACGTTTTTAAAGAGGGAAAGTGGTAATTAATTATGCTAATTACGAATTACGTAATTACGATAATTAGGTAATTACCATATCATGTATATTCAGAATCCATTAAACGCTTTTGTCTAAATCCAAAGAAGGTAAATATGATAGATAAATCGGGAAGATGTTACCATAAAGCACAAATTATATGCGATATACCAAATAATTACTCAAGTGAGGAACGAATAAAAAATAATTTTTTGTATATTTTTTTTTACACAATTTGTTCATTACCTTTCTCTTCCTTCAATTTCTTTTCAACCTCTTTTCCATTTCCTCATACCTCCTATTTCAATTCCTCAATGATATTTCATCATTTATATAAAAACAAAAAAGAAGGTTACCATTTTTATTAAAAGTATAATAATTAAAATTTTTTCAAAGGTAGTCTATTGTTTATTAGAGGCCTGCACGGGTCATCATAATTGAATGAATACCAATCCGAACCCTAATAAATTCATAATTTTCAACCCGAATCCGACTTGCACACAAAAAAATTTTTTTCATTAAACAAATAGAAATTACAAGAAAAAAAATTTACCGTAATGAGTTTCTTAATACAAGAATACTATCAACTGTTTGTAGATTTAAATTTGTGCGAAGTTCATTAACTGTAAGTCCGGCTGCACTAAACTCTCACTAGGTGCAACTCCAAACCCACAATTGTTTCAAATGACGTAAATCTTTAGAAACAAAATTAACTATTTTTTTTGTTGTATCTTAACTTTCAAGGAATCACCTTCTTTGTTAAAAAAGTCTTTAATTACTTGTTGAGTTATAAACATGACATCTTTTGAATTATATTTATATAAATATTGACGATTCTTACAAACAACATAACCGCAAGATTTATCATCTTTATCAAATACTTCAGCGAATCCTAACCAAACATCATTTTTTCCACCAATTTTATCTTTACATGATAATTCTCCAGCTAGTAATTTTGATGATATTTGGTTAGTGGATAGTGTATTTGACATTATTTAAATTATTGATTTGAAAAAGTGTGTGAATATAATATGTAATAGTAATAGTTATTTCACGGGAATTCGTGAAAATAATAATAATAATAACAATGATATTTCATGGATATTCCCGTGAAATAACTGGTTTATCTCACGGACTAACGCCCGTGATGAAAAAAAGTTTATTTTACTCAAAACATTTCTTTATTTAATAAAAATGTGTCCAATTCACATACCAATAAAAAGCAACAAGGACCCAAACAAGCATTTCAACCTATTTTTACTAATGCAAGTTCGCTCATTTCTCAAAAAGTTTCCAAGATTTCGATTTCTACTTTACCAGTTGGTTCTATTCCTCAAAGTATTTCAAATACCATTTCCTCACAAGAAGCACCATCTGAAATTTATGAGAACTTAAATTTTATCGTCAAAAAGCTATTGTTGCAAATACTGAAAAATCAACTCGAAATTGGGTTACTAAATTTGAAGAATTTCGCAAGAATTATAATTATATTATTCCAGTTGATAAGATTACGAATTCTGAATTAATTGAACAACAGGTTTGTGAATATATTGCACAAATGACTAAAAAGAACAATTCTGGTGAATATAAAGCAAATATAGTAAAACAAGCTGTTGGTGCTATTAACCACCATTTGGTAAAATTTTCACCGATTCGTGGAATCAATTTATATGATAAATATGAGTTTCCGGATTTATGGACTGTATTGCATTGTAAAATGAAAGATCTCCAAGAAAAAGGATTTGGTGAAAAGTGGGATCAATGGTGCTAACAGCACAACAAGTTCAAGAAATTCTTGCTGATGACTTTCTTAATCCAAAATCTAAATACTCCTGAGGGTCTTTTATATCGATTTTTGATATCAGTAATTTCATTCAATGTGTGTTAGATTTATTGATCTGATCGGCTCGATCTTGGTTATTTTTCGTTAATTGAGCCTGGGATATAGTTCACAAAGCTGAATTTATTTCCTTAATTGCCCTAATTTTGGCCTGTTGCAGTTTTTGACTATAGCTGTTAATTAAATCAAGCAAGCGATTTTTTTCCTTATTAATTTCGGAAACTTGGTTTTCTCTTTTTGGAAGGTGTTTAACTCGCTGTCTTTGGCGTGAAATTTGCTCTCTCAATCGTTTTCTACTAACTTTTGGCATTTAGTTTTTAACTCGGCATTAGTTTGGTTGAGAGCTTGATAATTATGGTTAGCCTCAATCTTTAAGAATAAGTTCAACTTCTTCCATCTTTTCTTCACTAATCTTTTTCATTAACTCATCAAACAACCCTTCTTTTTATTTGCGAAATTTGATAACTGGCTGTTTCTGTTCTCGGAATATTTTTTCGAAATGCAACTAATTTTGCATGTCGTGGAGAATACTACAATCTTCGTGTTGATCAATTTCAGCCTTTACCTGATGGTGGTTTGCTTTTTCAGAATTATCGTAGCAAAAACAACCAACGTGGAATTGAAGGAGGTATTGCACAAAATATTCACCCCCCTCCAAATTCAGAAGCAATTAATGATATTAATAAATAACTTTCAAAACGTTTTACAAATTAATTAACTTTGGCATGAAACTGGAATTTGGTATTAAAAAAAACATTGTGGTTTCAATAAAGTAGGAAATTTTATGAAAAATCCATTAAAGTAAGTCTTCCGCCTGGTCTCTTAACAAATCATTCTGGTCATAAAACTGTCGCTCGGGTACTAATGTGCCATAATGGGAGTAACAGGTCATAAAAGCACACAAGGTATTCGTGTGTCTAAAGAAGTAAATGAAAAGCAACATCTTGCTTCTACGAATAATTTGATCCATGTTTTAGAACCATCAAGGTCAATTCATGATGATTCAACTTTAATAAATAATTCTTTAAATACTGTTAATACTACACCAGAATTTTCTTCTGGTGATACGGAAAAGAAATTTCCTATTTTTAATGATTGTAATTTTAATCATGTAACTTTTAAATTTTAAAGTCTTTGCTTTTTGCATAAATAATAAACATAATAATAATAAATAATAATAGTAGTTTAAAATTAATAATAAATAATAATAAAAGTTTAAAAATTTGACATTGAGACCAAACCTGATGCAGGTCTCTATTGTTTATTATACATCATTTGCAATAATGGATTTATGAAATTTTACTTGCTACAGGTTTTTAATTTTTAATTTTAGGAACACAATTTTACATGTAACTGCGCTGCGAGTTATAGATGGGTATCAACTGATTATTCACGTGATTTCAATTTAGATGAATCTTTGCCATAATCCTATATAGCATTCTTTTATTTCTATAAATCTATTTCAGATTACATTTTTGAATAACAATTTTTCATATAAGATGCAGATTTATTCAAATTTTGCAGGACAAATTGTATAATAATAGGAGGAATAATTTAATAATCATGTGATTTATTGACTTGGTTCATGAAGTCAAGAACAAAAATGCTAAAATCCAATGATGACATTGAAAATACGCCTAGATAGTAATTAAAAAAAATTTTTTTTAAAATAAATGCAAAAAATATATATTTTTGCCAATAAAAAATGAAGGAAACGTCCTACCATTAATTAATATTCCTTTTTTTATTAATCATATCTTTAGTACGCACTATATTTGGTGTTGTGAATGTTGGAGGTGCTTTAATAGTTGTAGGCGTGCAAAATCCATCTTGTTCATCATCATCAAGAAAATTCTCAACATTAACATCATTCTTCTTATTTATTATGTCCAATGTTTGTATGATGATGGATTTTGCACATAGTATCTCCTTCAAAACTAAAGCAAGTGGGGCAGATTTAATTAAACGTCCAGCTACTTCATGAACCTTTCTACGTTGAACACGGAAAATATATCCCTTTGGATAGTCCATTGTAATAACTTGAATTCTGCTAGCTCCTTGGAGAATCCCAACCACTTGCAATTTTCTCACAAGGTCTTCTATCCAGTCACATTCGGTAGAAAGTTGCGCTAACATGTCTTTCAACATTTTGCATAATTTTAATGAATCTGTTAAGTACTTAGTACCATGTTGTCCTTCCCACTTACGCCCCGCTTCTATTGCACCAAATTCTAGTCGTTTCTTACACAGTCTAAAAACGCCATCACCCTTTCGACCAATCATTTTTCGATCAGCTACTGATCTTTCATGATTCTTCCGATCGCTTGAGGCAAGGCTCATTCCTTCACCACGCACTAAATCGATGTTCAAATTACTAAAAGCAGGATCGACTAAGCAACTCCAAACACCCATTTCATACCAACCCTCTAATTTCAGAGGGTCAAAGGGATCCTCCTCCTTCTCCCACAAAAATAACATTCCTCTATAAGCGTAATTAATAAAATCAAGATCAAAATGGATATTTCGATTATATTCATCTCCATCTGGTACAAACGGTTTAAAAAGAGCTTTTCGTAATTCCTGGATATTGTTGACTGTGTACTTTTTCAATAATTCCACATTCTCATGTTCAAGTTTCGGCTTATCTTTAATTTCTGAGGTGGTAATTTCTTTCCACTCCTCTCCAGAAAACAGTGATCTAGTAGCCATATCAACATCATTGATTATGAATGAGTGTAAATAAGATTCATGTGTCAAAGTTCGTGCGTATTCATAAATTACTTTCTCAACGACACGACCAGAAGATTTGAGAGTCCACATTTTTGTCGTATCTAGACTATGGTAGGCAAAATTAAAACAGGCGATTCGTTCATCTGTAATCTTGTCATTATCATCATCAATATCATTTTCAGACATTGTGGACTTTCTTTTGCAATGATTTTTAGTAATCGCCCTATTACAAAAGGTTTTAGGAATTAGCAACTAGAGTGACAGATCTTTGGTTCTGTTGTATGTGAAATTGAAATTATGTGAAATCGAAATTTATAATTAAACTAGAGTGACGATGAGTGGCGGGCGATAACCACCACCACCATTCTTAAAACACTTACTCGTATGAATCTTTTGTTTCATCGTTTTTACTTCTTTTTCCTTTTTGTTTTACTGTTCTAGACATTTTTTTTTTATAAGAAGTTTGTTTTGATTGATCGACGCGTACACCAATTATTTATCCTTTTGGTTTTTTTTTTGGTAGGACAGACGCGAATTGATATTATTGATTTTTTTTTTTGGAAAAACAATTTATTTTTTGACAGAGTCCGAGGTGACAAAACGTGAGTGCTGTAGTTTGGTTTATGATTTGGTTCGGTTTGGGTCTTCTAAAGAGAGCATGTTAATAATAGAGGTACTTTTTTTACTTGTATCGTCTTTTTTGGTTTTTAAATATTTAATTGGAAATCAAAACGCGGAGCAGATCTTGCTGGGTAATTACAAGATTTTCATTGATAATATTTTACTTTGCGTAATCAATATTAATATTAATAATATTAATTAAAAAAATTAATATATAATTAGATGTCAAGGCAGCACACCATTAAACAAGAGAGATTTCAAACATGAGACATTTTGAATATGCGATGTTTGATTATCGGAAATTAGCAGGTGTTGAAGCACGCGAATACAGTCATTCTCACACATTCCTCGTGTACAAAAGGCTAATCTGACCGGCTCCCTCCAATGATACAATGATGTTACAGAATTCCAGGGGGCGGGGGCATGGCCCTGGAGTTTACCATGACTGCATCAATCGTCAAGAACGCTTTTCGCTAATCTTCCCAGACCAGAGAAGGCTTGCTGTCATGCTAGCCAAAAAGTTGCCTGCAACGATCCTACCTCTAGGTAAGGATGGCACTGTGACCATATCGCAACTCTGCAGAAATATCAAGTGTTTCAAGCACACGAGGTCACAATTCAGAGCAGGGTTGTGTGGCCCCTGAAATTGCATTTGGGCTCTGAAGTTAAGAGGAAAGTTATAAAATAATGTTTTGTATAATCATTTTCATGAATTTTCTGTTTCTCTTTAATTTTTATTTGACCAACTGAATTTGTTGTTTAAAAATGGGGGTAGGGTTGTTGGTGAGTAGGCATGCCACTAACAAGACACAACCCAGGACTCAAAACTTGGAATTCAGGGAAAATCCAAAACAGCAACAACCCAGGTTGCAATCTCCTGAGTTGCAGAATTTTCAACCAGTTGCAGGTGCCAACTTTTATGCTAGTGAGGTGATAACACAAAGCAATCATCACACAAATGTCAGTGATCAATGCCCATATGGTGACAGTCAAGCCTGGTCTGAGTGAAAGATAAGGGAAATTTTTTGTCAACCTTATAAAAGCCTCCAACTATGGGTACCTTCACCTATGGAATAAATAAATTCTACAGTTATGAAGAGTGTGAAAGCACCTGACCATTTGTTGGTGATAGGAAATTTTTTAATTAAATCTGACACCTGCAATCAACATCAGATTTATTATTCATAATTGATAAACAGGAAAAATATTTTATTATTATGAACCCCAGAGATCTGGGTAGACAAGCATCATTAAAAGCTTTATGTATGTATGCATGGCCTTGGTATCATTACTATTCGGGTGATGCAATTGTTTGTTATGTCAATGATGATATCAAATGTATTGAATAATAATCATGACCACTGTGAATATTTGTTGGATGGAGGAATTCACATACAAGGAAATGATTAAATAAGCTAAGTCATGTTTATTTTTATCTATATATTTATTTAAAAAATATTATTTTATTTCACCTTTGTAATGGCATTAATTTCAATGATTCTGAAATTGTTTGTTTTTTAGTGTTAATGATTATCACACAAATAGTAGTCAATTTAAATGGCATTTTTAAAAAAGATTTTATTTGAAATAAATAATATTTTAAATGTTTTAAAGATTTTTAATTAAAGATTTTGTGATAAATCAACCATATTTTTATATATTTAATAAAATTTCTTTATTTCTTTTTTTAAATAACTTAATTAATTAAAATTTTAAATTTTGAACATTTGCTTATTTGAGTAGTTTCAAATAGAATTTTATTAAATTTAAAATGGTATAATTCACAAATTTCCATGGCCATTTCACCAAATGAAAATCGGGATTCAACCCAGTCTTTTTGTTAAATAATTGCTTAAAATCCTTCCCTAGATTTTCTATTTCGTGTGAATGTTTTTATCACCAGTAAGTTGGTTTGTTTTATTTTTGAATTATCAATTATTTGATCGATTTTTTGATTTTATAGAATTGATTTTTATAGGCTATATAATGAAGTAAGAAACTAAGCAAGAGTCAACTCAACAACCCGCAAAAAAAATTCACTATTGAATGTAAGCGTTTTTTTTAAATGTTATTATGGATGAAAATTGATTATTTCTTGTTCAATAAAGTAATTGATTACTTTTAAACGAATCTAATTTTATTTAATTAATTATCTTGAGTAATTCGACTTTTTGTCAGACCAATGTTTTTCTTAACACACTGTATATATTGTTAATAATATCTACATTTCGCTCTCTCTATAACGAAACTCTTTATAACGAACTTCCATTTTGTCCTTGGTTAATTTTCTTCTCTATAACGGACAAAGTCAGAAAATTACATATAGAACTAGAAGGTTCGTTACAGAGTGTGAACTGTATTATTATCAATTCATCCAAATAGTGTTTGAATTTATCACAGGATTATGCGCATGAAAAAAAAAGCAATGCGCATGATTTTTTTTCGAAAAAAAAAAATTGCGAATTTTGAATTTTTACCAAGTTGTCATTGATTATATTATTGATGGTGTTTTTAAGAAATGACCAAATCAAAGTTTGGCTCATTTTGTTAAACTGGATAGAATTGATAATTTTAGCTCCTATTTCAGCTTGCTTCTAAAAAGAATCGGTCCACCTTTTCTTTTATACATGATAAAAAAAGAAACAATTTGACGCCTGAATATGTTTTAAATTGGTGTATATTTATTTATTTTAATTACAAATTAAAATGTATGACAATGATAATACATATGTAAACTCGATAAGTCGGTCATGCGGGGGTGAGCTCATATGACCGACTTATCGAGTAAACCGACTTATCGAATTAAATTACTTAAATATTAAGGAAAATTTTGGCCGACTTATCTAGTGACCGACTTATCGAGTTTACATATTAGAATTGATGGGAGGTGAAAATGATAAAAGTGATGATGGTGATGAAACAATTAGAATAGAAGGCAATGGAGAAGAAGGCAGTGGTAGTGATAATAATATTGAAATTATATTTAGATATTTATTTTTGTATTCATGCAATTTCCCATCTTTACTTGTTGGACATGTCTATCTAGAGTTTTGCAGGAAATTCCTTTACAAATAAATTATTTGTCATATGCAGGATGAACATCATTAGCAAAGGATTGATCAACATCCATCTAAAAACATTCTTCATCTAAGTTGTTAGGTTTAGAATATCTTCACATTGATCACTATATTCAGACCTAAAATTTGGACAGTTTCAAGCATATTTTTACATAGAAAATTGCAAGTTTATTTGGCTTGTTTCCCTGTTCATTTAAAAACCATTATGTATGGATGGTGTCAAATGTTGGGTTTTCACCAGATAATTTTTTTATTTTGGTATTAGAAAAACTGAATAATGTAAAAAAAGTTAAAAAAATAATTACAATTAAACACCACAAAGGAATAAATTATAATGTTATTTCTAAAGTATTATTTTGAAAAGAAATTCAAATAATATTTCCGTTCTTAATAATTAAAAAAAACTTTTCATTAATATTAATCAACATTATATATTTTTAAATAAATTATTGTTATATTAACATCAGGTGTTTGATGTATGAAAATGAATTTCATGAATGTAAGTAACTAGGGTTGTGTTGGTCTTTAAAAGATCGGTCCCTTTGAACCACGGTCCTAAATTTCAGTACTGGTCCCTATAGTACCAGCGGATCTTTCTTAACAAGGAATTTTTTGAATTATTAATACGTATAATAATAATAAATGAATTTATAATATAATAAATAATAATATCAATAATAAATAAAATTTGAAAAAAAGGATTTATCGAAGTGCTGTCCAATCGTATGGTTGTCACGTGACCTATCCTTCGTTCGTATTTTTTAATTTATTTATATTTTATTAATAATCTATCTAATTAATGGAACAAAAATAATTAAAAAGTTTGCAATTAATTGACGAGTGTAACTAAAAAGTTAACTTGAACTCGGTCATAAAACGTAAAATAATTGACCAAAAAGGCTACCTTTGCAATATTGAGTTAGTAAACAATCTTTAACCAGACCCAAAAGACTAGACCGGGCCAGACTAAATGTAGCCCACTACGTCAAAATAGAAGATTTATGCAATGCTTCTTTAAAGTTTATTGTCTCTTGTAATATTGGATTTGTTTAATTCTGTTCGCTATTACTATGATGATTTCTGGCCAATAAACTTGTTGAAATTTGTCGATAATTACAAAGAAATTTTAACCGACTAAACTATTTAGTCATATTAATATGTTAAACCAAGACAATTATTACTAAACTTGAATTTTAACCTCTGTGCTGCACTGATTATTATATTTTTATAATAATAATATAAATAATAATAAAACGGATTTTTCTTGAAATTTTTCACACCCAGGTTTTTCACAATATTTAAATTCTTACATATGTAAAAAAACGTAGGTCTAAAGTTTTAAAACATATAATTGCTTTTAATACAAGACACAAATGTTTGTGATAACACCCA